ATATCCATATTTTGTTGTCAACATTTACATTATAATGTATGATTGAACACTTAGGTGATTCAAGTTAATAAAAATAAATAAAAAATATATGTTTAAGTTTATTTAATAAATAAATAAACATTTGTAAATTTGCTTACCTCGCAGCAGCTCTAGAATTTTTCCCAGATTTTATGAAACAATGCAGCAATGCAGCATATTAGTTTTTTCAAGATTAGTATACATATTAATATGATATATGTATACATATACTTAATTTGCATAAATGGATATGAAATCAATATAAAAAAAAAGTCTATATTTACATTAGATAAATTAGTTTTATTGAAACATATTTTAGTCAATGTACAGATAAAGATTCAAAAATTAAACAGTTACAACAAAGTTAAAAGTAGTTTAAAATGATAAAAGTTTGAAATAAACCCTAACAATACCGATGATGACCCTTGATTGATGTTAGGAAATACCAAAGATATATAATTTAATATATCATTAAATGCATATCCATGAAATACAAAACAAAATTGTATACATAGTTTCATTTAAAGGTGTAACAGTGTACAATTTAAAAGTTTAATTTTTTTATTCATTTTACGGTACTAAACATGGACAAATATGAAACATATGAGGAATTTTTAGCTATGAATGAAAATATAAATATATCTGAAATTGATTTTTATAAAGCAGGGTATAAATCAATTTATGATGTATTACAATCGACTATTCAGGTAATATAACTTAATAATATAATAAAATCGGGTAAATATAAAAAATAAAAATTTACAGGAGGTACATAGCTTAAAAAATAAAAACAAAATTTTAACTGAAGATTTAAATGAACGTAATATTAGCAATAGCAATTTGAAGGAAGAACTTGGCGAAGCTATAATACAAACGGTATGCAATTTATAAATCAAAGTATACTAACTTAATTTAAACTAAATATATTAATACATACATAAATACTAATATTTAATAAATAATTGTACTAACTGTAGAAGAATTTAAAAACAAAAAACCTGGCCTTACAAAATTCTTACGAATTATTGTTGTAAGAAAATGAGCAGTTAAAGCTTAATATAACAACTTTGGTAAGAAAAATTTAGTATTAAATTATAATAATAATTGGTAATACCTGCTGAATAATATTATAGAAAATTGAGAGTAAAAAAATGGTTACATTAGAAACAATGGAACAGTTATTCGACACAAAATTGGCTAGACTTGAAAACAGAATCATAAAAGAGTTGAAAGACATTGATTCTCCATTGATTCTTGACAATACAAATAATACTGCATTACTCCATACTCCTCCAATTAACGTTACCACATTGCACGATGAACTTTCAGAAGTTGTAAGAAAGGTAAATTGTTCACAAAACAAAAATATACAAAAATATTAAAATAATATGTATATTAAAATAATTAGAAATTTAATTTGGTAAAAATTGTACTTATAACTTTTGTTTAGTGCACAGAATGGTGGTGCCCAGTTCATTCTAACTTAAGTGAGCTGGTTAAGTGTAAAACCACTAACATTTGAAGACGAAACCATTATTAGACGTCCTAAGTCTCACCACGCATATTGGTCAAAAGACAATATCGTAATTTTTATTGGATTTTGGTTTTGTTTAATAGGCAATAATTAATGATTTTTCATGACAGGTTCAATGCTGCACCAATGAAAGAAAGCGCCAAAGTCAGCCCATAGTGCACAAATTACCGTCCTGTTGGCCAACATTATTACCAAGCGATATTGACAAGCTTAGTAACCAGTTTTCTACACACAAAATATGAAAAAAAAAGTAAAATATACGTATGACTTACTATAATTCCAAATTCGCTTTATTTTATCATCTTAGTCTCCATTCTCTTAAGACTTAATTACTAACTTACTGACTACTGTCTACAACACACATATTAAACATTAATTTCCAAAATGTTATGAAAAAACTGAAAAAACTAATTAATGCTAATTTGATAATTAATAATAAATAAAAGTATGGACTCTTATCCATCTTGCCGTAATTATAGATAAAATATAAGAAGTCTATGAAGTACTCACTATCAGTACTACCTATAAAGTATTAAAACTTTTATAATTTTAAATCAAATACAAATACTATATATTTTGCTGAATAGTTCATATATGTATATTTTTTTTTATTCAATTTACAATTTTGGATATACTATAGCAACATAATTAATTACACTTTGAATAATATTTTTAACAGGTTAATATTAATTGTTATCATTTACAATTTAAAATTGAATATTAGTGTAGTATAGGTGTAGCATAGTAAAATGCACTTACAATTTATAATCAAACTTTAGTACAATATAAAAAATCTACCATAAATTGCTTCAATAGTTGTAACATATCTGTTTGCACAAGCTCGTTTTGAAAATTCACATAAATGTATTCATAATTTAAATAATACTTATATACTTCCAAATAAATATTGTACTAATAAACTGAAATAGTTATAAACCTATTTATTTCAATGTCATGAACAGGGTTTGAGACAATCATTTACTTATTTAATTGGTTTGATATAAAATCTGGTATAGGTCAGATTCTAGATATTAAATTTAATCCTTAATTAAAATTGAAAATTAAGAATAATATTACATTTTGAAAGTTGTTTCAAAGCAAAGATTCAGAGCAAATTCATTAGATAGGTTTAGTATTAATATCATTAGGTATTCTAACTTTAAATGTATAAAGCCATTTTAATTAACAAAATGTGTTAAATTGTTTCAATAATTGATGACACTACAGAATTATAGAAAAATTCTTGATAAGTAACTAAAATTATGATAATATTATAGTTAAATAATCTTAAAATATATATTTCTTCACATCTTACTGGATGTCATAGTATTTTTTAAATAAACTACTTTACATTTTTCTACACAATAATATACATAATAATATATTGTATACTTCAACAAACACATAATATGTAACTTTTAAGTTTAAATTTTTCCAGCAGCCAATTAAGGCACCTACTTGGATTTATTAACTTGAATGTTGGTAATGGTAATTTGTTTATCAATTTATTAATAAGTCTTCAATATATCATTTTTGACTTGCAGAAACAATGTCATGGTAGAGGTCTAATGATAATTAATTTAAAATGATAAATAATAATGTGAATTACATTATTACCATTTTGGAATAGTTTCCACCGAGTCCTTTAGAAACCCTAGAGACACCACGGCTTTTTAAAACTAAGAAACATATACCATTAAAATGAACCTCCTACTTATCGGAAGCCACCCTGAAAGAGCTGGAAAAGTCCACCCGACTTACCGTTATTACAAACACGTCAATCCCGTTTTGTTTGCAATCTCGAAGGAGCTGACTCAAGATGAAGCTGACAATGTTATTAACGGCTACCGCCGATCTGACTTCTCACAAGAAGCCTCGATCAACGATTACAAAAGAGGAGAAATACCAAAGCATCCTATCATAAAGGATGACTTTTACTACAGAGCACTTGAAGAGACAAGACGACGTTTTGCCCCTGAGCAAAAGTACCGACCAGTCTCCTTCCTTGACCTTAGATACTACCCTTGGACACTACCGACCTCAGCCGAGGCCCCGTTCTCCACGTCTGATTATTGGAAAAAGTACGTTAAAATCAAGCACCAAATAGGTGAAATTGAAAATGACAAGACTATCCTTTCACAATCTCTACAACGAGATATTCCGACACAACCGAAAAAAAGTCCACCGAATTAAAGACGGCATATATGTCGACAGATTTGGTATAGATCTAAAATACTGGAATCAAGCTCACGCCAGATCACATCTGGTCAAGAAAGACGACCCTGACAAGATTCGCATGGTTTTCGGAGTCCCAAAACTCCTTCTCATGTCCGAATGCATGTTTTTGTGGCCCTTAGTTAATGATTTAATTAACAAAGATGGCCCCATGTTATGGGGTTACGAAACCCTGAAAGGTGGATGGTACTCCATGTACAATTGGATGACCACAAACTCACCTCACAGCGGTACTTTCCTCGCTCTCGACTGGAAACATGAAAATAAAAAACAATACATGAATAAATATTTTTAAATACTTTGTAGTAAGCATTTATACTAATTAAGTACTTAATAGTAATTTAAATATAATTATAAATCACACCTACTTTTTTTAAAAATTTTATATATAATAATATGCTTTACACAATCAGCATATTATATTGTGATTATTATTGATTGACATACTAATGATTGATGTTTTCCAAACTGTATAATAGATTTTGTTATGGCATATCAAAAATAACATATTATGTCATTATATTTATAATTTTATATTCACTTTTGTTTATAAGTTAAAAAGTGGATATTTCAATATAACTTTTATAACTTTAGAGTACAAGCTTTCAAATAAAGTTATATCTTTCAAATCAATATTATGCCACATTTTAACATCAAAGGAAAAGAAACTTTATAATAACTCGCAGGAACATCTTAGTTGTTTTTTAATATTTCTGTGTAGTGATAACTTGATTATATAGGTAACAGTCCACATTTAAGTATCCAGTAGGTACCAGTGATCTATAGGTTAGGCATACAAAGATTTGAACAAAAATTGTACTTGTATACATGATTAATCTGAAATAAAAATTTCTTGATTTAATATGTTTGATAAATTGTATAATTTTGGTAACTAAAAACTAAACTAGTAAAACTTACCAATGAATTGTACAAATGCAATTGCCAAGTATTCAATATTTCAATTCTCCAACTTGAGGAGTACTCATATGTTTGATTACATTATTAAAAGAAAATACATGAAATACAATATGTAGTATATGATACTATAATATTTACAAACACTAATATTACTACTAAACGTTTATCAATACAATTTGAACACTAAGAACTGTAGAGTTTAAAAATTTAATATTTTATTTAATATTTTTATACGAATTACGACCACGATTCACGATTCAAATTTGATGTTATTAACTTATAACCTAACCGACGTCCGACACAGTGTTGCCAGGTGTGGCGATTTATCGCCAAAGTGGCGATTTTGAATGATTGTTTGGCGGAGATATTTGACTTTTGGCGGGTGGCGGAAAAGTTGGCGATTTTCGATTCGAAGTGTGAGATTAATGGCGACTTACTACTATACTACTATAATCAATGGTAATAGTGGTAATACTTATCACAATATCAGAAAATTGATAATAGGCATGTTTTTATCACATTAATTTTGTTTAAATAAGTTATAAAATATATTATCAGATTTATTGTTGCCTTCTCAACATTTTAAATAGTTATTTTTAAACAATTACAATGATTATCAAGGGAAAACCTAGTCTAAGATATGTTGCATATACATATCTGCTACATACACATACACGTACGAAGTACGTAAAAAAAAAATCACGCATTGAAGCCATTGAAGGTTTATACTTTAAGCGTGTCATCACTCAGCCCGCAGCCGTCAGCTTTTACTCGCTAGTCCTGAAGATTGAAAAATGGGTAAAATTGAAAAACTCAGAAAGTATAGAAAATCATGGGAAAATGAATTATGGGCTAAAGGTATGTGTAAATATTTTTAAAACATAATATAATCGGTCAAAACTAAAAATGGACTTTTTGTCTCCACTGTTTCCAGAATTTTCGTCCTGGATTCAATATAACCAGATCAAAATTAATTTGTATAATTTTCTTAATTTTTAAGGTTGGTTAGCACCAGCTGATTCAACTGCGAACACAGTTGCAGAAGCTTATTGTAAAGTATGCCGTTCGTTTTTGAGAGCACATGTAACCGATTTGAAAAGGCATGCAAAAACAAAAATCCACAGTGATAACATGGTCCAGTTGAATCCAATGAAAAAAGATCAGTCTGTATTAAGTAACATTGTTAAAATATCTAACGAACAAAAAATTATAGATTTGAAATTAGCTGTCTATGTAAGTACACACACTTCAATTATGAGTGTCGATCATTTGGGTGAAATATTGAAAGTGCTTGGCAAAGGTACTGCATTAGCCAATTTAAAACTTCATCGAACTAAATGTTCTTCATTGATTCAAAATGTAATCGCACCAACCTTACTTGAGGAACTTGTGCAAAATATTGGCACAAATTATTAATCATTGATTATCGATGAATCCACTGATGTTTCCGTATTCAAATACTTGTGCCTATGTATTAAATATTTTAGCTCTAAAACTGAATCTATAATTATTAAATATTTAGGCATTATAGAAGTTGTGAATTGTTCAGCTGATTCACTGTATGACTGTATATGTAATTACATGCAGGTGATAGGTTTAAATTTATCAAAGTTGATTGGCATAGGTACTGATGGTGCAAACAAATTATGCGGAAAATATCATTCTCTTTTTACCAATTTAAAACAAAAAAGTCCAAACTTGCAAATCGTAAGATGTATTTGTCATTCTTTGAACAATGCAGTTTCAAAAGCATCAGAAAGCTTTCCTAGTACTATTGATTACCTTTGCAGAGAAGTGTATAACTGGTTCCATATAAGTCCAAAAAGAAGGGATGAGTATAAACAAATGTTTGATCTTCTTAACTCTGGCTTGAATAAAAAGTTCCATAATTTTCACCAGATATCTGGCACACGGTGGCTAGCACGCAGTTTTGTCGTTAACACCATTCTAGAACACTGGCTAGAGCTTAAAACTCATTTTTCTCTTATGGTGAAAAAGGAAAAATGTTACGCTTCACGAATTATACATGAAATGCTACATGATGACACTAATTACCTTTATCTTATCATCATAAAACCCATTTTACAAGAATTAAATTCCTTAAATTTAACTTTTCAAAAGAATTTTGTGGATCTTGGAAGGTCCTATGATGATATTTGTTGTTTATTTATATTTTTGGCAAAGAAAATTATAAAAGAATCTGTAGTGTCAAAAGGATTTGAATATATATATAACAATATTAATAATGATTCTGTATACCGACATTCGAGCAATTGTGATTATGGAGTGGGGTATAACCAGTCAATAATTAATATAAATTTATCTCAAGAAAAGAAGTCTAATGTACAGACACAAGCTTTTAATTTTATTAAACAATTACTGTATGAAATAAAAAAGAGATTGCCCGACAACATTGAATTTTTCAAGAAAATGAAATTATTTTAACCCACTTTGTGTTTATGCCAATTGCATGTAAATTTTATTGATTTACCTTTTGTTAATTTATTTTTAAAACCTTCAGAGATTGTATTGATAGAAACACAATGGGAAAAATTAACAACAGTAACTTGGAAAATGTACTTAAATGAAAAACAGTTAAACGATGCCAACTTATTTTGGCCAAAAGTTTACAATTACAAAGATGCGGGTGGTAATTTTGCATTTAGGGAATTGTCAGAATTCGTTCTAAAAGGTCTCTCATTGCCTTCAAGCAATGCTGTGGTGGAGCGAGTATTCTCTATAATGAATACAGTAAAAACAAAATCCAGAAATCGTATAAATGCAAATATGTTGGATGCTTTATTAAGAATAAAAACTACATTTATTTCTACGAAAACATGTTGTACAGAATTTGTACCACCTAAATCAATGTATGACAAGTTTAATTCAGAAATGTATAACAAAAAAAATGATGTGAACACTATAATTAATAATGTTGAATCATTAGACAATGATTTTAACGATGAATTAATTAATATAGTAAACGAAATAAGTTTACCTGATTTTTATTAAACTTGTGTTATAACTATAATGCTATATGTATCAATACTATTAAAACTGCTAAATAATAATTTGTATTTACTTTTTTGTTATAATATAAAATATAAGATGTTGTTTTATAAAACATGTATACATTGGGCAAAAGAACTTATAATTTATACTGTTTATACTGTTATCATTTTATTAATAAAGTTTTGTTTTTTTTTCAATCATAATTTGTTTAGTTTGGTTCCGTTTAAATAGTTATAATTTTATCTTTATTAATAAAGTAACAAACTGACAAAAATGCCAAATGGTATTGGCCAAATCCAATAAAGTGACGTCGAAAAAAATTTTTTTTTGAAATTTTGGCGATAGATGGCGATAATTTTTAAAGCTTAATTTTGGCGGTAGATGGCGTTATTGGAAAAGTAAATTGGCGATTTCCTTATCAATAATTCTGGCAACACTGGCTCCGACAACCGTTTATCTACTCAACGTATTATCATGGTATGATCCATGGTTACCAGGTAACGGGTATACTCATATCGACATGTATCAGCTGTCTCCATGTAGTCCATGGAACTCATAGACCTTATACCTAATACTAAGTACCTATAAGGTCTATGATGGTACTATGATATCAGCACAGAGCAAAACGCATGATATATTGATAACAATTGATAGTAGACAAGTACTATAATTCCCTTATAATAACCGTGCACAGGGTGCACAGAAGACAGAAGATAGCAGAACAATACAAAATAATATCTGATCAAAATTAGTCTATTGTATCTAATCGTAAATGGGTATAGGGTAGTGATGAATACACTCAAGTAGGTAAGTAGGTATGCAATAAGTGATAGTTATGATCCAATTGGCAATTACTGAATTACTTATTATAATATGGAACTATGACAATCAGTTATTGTAACGAGTATGTGCTATAGGTACAAAGTACAAAGATTATCACTATTATACCTTGGGCTCGAATCACAGATTAAATGAAACCAGATAGTGCACTTCGGAATATAACAATAGATTTCCAAAAAACAGGATCTGATTGGTTACTGCGCGATGCAGTAGGTCCAAATAGGAGTAACAAAAATATTGTAATACAATAATTTACGAAAAATATTGTTCACAGATAAAAAGACAAAGACACTATTTTATTCCAATTAATTAATTTGTTTATTTATTAAAATTACACAACATATAAACATTTACAAGTAGATGAAAAAAAACTACAGTTAAATTATACTAAAAACAAAATTCTAACATAATTATCCTATTTTTATTGTGCTGTAGTGTCCACTTGTTTTCAGTCGGTTGGCTCCAAATTGTATAAACCACAGAAATGTGCAAAATTATATCTAGATAATTATTCAAATGCATTTTTATTTGAATAATTTGAAAATATTATTATTGGAATAATAATGTTTTCAGATAACTCAAATACATTTTTATTCAAATAACTATCTAGATACAATTTCATTGGAATGACGCTCTACTCTCGTAGATCATTCCCTTTTTTAATTCCATCATAAAATAATAATTATGAAAAGTTAACAAAAATTTTGCAAGTACTTATAAAAATTTAATTTTAAGCACGTGACCAAACAAACACATAAACAAAACATTATCATGAAATATGTTTGACAAGTGATAACATATAGAGTACAGTATGACCAGTTTTATGAAATATGGTAAATTTATTTTTTCCTTTCCTAGCCAGACTGATTTGAGAAGTACAAAAATTTGTTTACATATTACCGACTTTCATGAGTGCAATATCTGGTTTCATTTAATCTGCGCTCGAATGTTATTACATTTAACTTCTGGTCTTTATATTTGATAATATGTATTATTACGACCAATGTGGCCATACATACCGGCTATCATTTTCAGTGGGGTGAACTATGCAAAACCCTTAACTAAATGAGTATTATAAAATACATTTTGGGTACAGTGTACTTGATAAATTGATTTGAAAAGTGTAGTATCTTTTACCTCGGTATAAAAATCCTAGGGTATCTACTATCAACTGTCTAACTGGTATTTACACACAAACACCACCCAAAACCTTCCAACTTTGAGAGGCTATATCTCGTCAACGGATTAACGAAAAATGAAAATTTAAATGTGAAAATCCATTAAAAAAATAGCTTTATTAGTTTATGAAATTTTAAGTATAGGTTTTCATTTGAAAATCAAAAGTTGATAGTGGTTTATCTAATAAATATAGGGGTGAAAAAAATTTTATATAGTTCTAGAACAGCATGGATTTAAAATTTTGAAAAAAAAAAAAATTGAAAAAAGTAAATGGTTTTGAGAAATATTGAGTGTTTTACGTTAAATGAATCACCCTGTATATTATGAAATATTAATTTAAATAAATATACAATCAATTAGGTAATTTTTTAATTCATTAATACAATTATTTTAAAATTAGTTGATTTTTTATTAAATTGATAATATTTACCATTCTTAAATCATAAATATTTTATTGATTCAGTCATTTAATATTATTAAACTAAATATATTTTAATTAAATTCAATAATAACCATTTTGTAAAAATAATTTAATTTTTGTTAATTCAACAATATTTATGTGTTAAATTAATAGAAAACCAATGCACTCAAATGTTTCCCAATTTAAATAGTTATAAAAGACACGTTACAATAAAGCACATAAAAAATACTTTTAGTTTACCTACATCAACATTTAATAATACTAATGATATTTGCGATAATATTAACTATGTTAAAACAAGCACAATAAGTCAACCCCCTATGGATACAACAAATATGTTTATTGAAACCAATTGTGAGTTTACTTACTAGTTTCGCCAAAGAAACAATTAAAGAACCAATTTTATTAGCAACTTTTCAAACAATTACAACAGCAATTTCTAATACATTTAATTTTTGTAATACCGAATATTCTTTAAACAATTGGTTAGTTGAAACCACCTTTTTGAAAACATTTAACAATTTACTGTTAATGAAGAGATTGACTTAGTATCGAACTCAGGTACAACTATGTATAATAACCAAATTACCAAGGGTGTATTATTGCCATTACATTCTCAGTTAAAAAAATTCTTTGAACATGATTATAACTTAGATAAAACTTTAACAATCTATGAACAATTGAAAAATAACACAAATAATGAAACACAAATAAAACATTTTGTTCGAGGAAAATTGTGGCAAGAAAAAATTATATATAGTTTAAGATTATATTTTCAAATTCTTGAGATTTTTTGTACTACTTAAGGAGTGTCCTATGGGGATACATACTTTTGTTTTTTTTTTTAATGAGAACACCCCTTTTCAACTGTATATTTGTATAAAACCAATTTTAAGGACTATTATTTTAAATACAAACATTTTTATAACTAAGAACTTACCCATTAAAATTTTGAATTCATTTCAGCAAAATTTTCAAAAATTTATCAAATAAA